TGCGCAGTAGCGTGGAAGCCTTTCTCGCGCTTAGTGCCCTTTGCTCCTGTGGCGAAGTAGTTCTCCAGTCAGTTAGTCAGGGAACTAGTTCCCTAGTGACGTAGACCAGGGGCGGGGTCCGGGGTTTTAAGGGACCTTCAGCTTCTGGATAGTTTTTGTTTGATTTAGCTTTAAACGTTTTCTGAATGAAGTAGTGTGTCTGATAGGGTGACGAAACTCCCTGTTCTCTCAATCTAAAGCCCTGTTCTTTCCCTCCATGGCAATTGCTCAAAAATAGTCCCTCAAAGCCTCCCTGTTTGGGATTTAACAGTAGAAAAGTAAAGAAAATAGCTATGAGAATTGTTTCCCCGCTCGAATATTAAAGACGGACCAGTGTGCCTCTACAGACCCAATTAAATACCCACAGATTTACGTAAGAAATGTGGTCTTACGCCGGGCCTTGGTGACGCACGCCTTTTATCCCAGCACTCGGGAGGCAGAGGCAGGCGGATCTCCGTGAGTTCGAGACCAGCCTGGTCTCCAGAGCGAGTGCCAGGACAGGCTCCAAAGCTACAGAGAAACCCTGTCTCGTGATCAACACGCCCTACTGGATTAACTGACTTTATTTTTTTTTTATTTTAAACTTCATTATTTCAAAAACGATTGCAAGTTAAACACTGAAATTAACCAGACCCAAAGACTCAAATGGACTTCTATACTGTTAGAATAGCATTGAGAACAGAAGCTGTGGAACTTCACATTGGATTTTAGGCTGTCACTATCAAATATATTTTTATTCACTTGTCCACCAACAAAACCAAAAAATATGATATCATTAGAGCTATAAGAATTTGATTTATATCCCCTTTTACTTGCATTCAGTCCATCCTCACCTAATATTTAGCCTTTCTTGTTCTTTTTTCTTCATGTTACATGGCACTCACATGTACATTTGTTCACGTATATGTGTATATTGTTAGCTAAATTCTGCATATAAGGGGGAAACATGCAGAGTTTTTCTGAGATTGTATGACCTCACTTAATACACTCTAATCGCATCCATTTTTCTACAAATTTTGTGATTTTATTTTTTCTTGATAGTTGAATAGTTTGCCACCTTTCATATATGCCAAATTTTCATTACCTATTCTTATGTTGATGGACAGTTAGGCTGATTCTAATTATTTACTATAGTGAATAAAGAAGTAATAAACATGAGGATGCAAATATCTCTATGACAGGGAGTTCTCTGGATATAAGCCCAGGAGTGCTATATGTGGGTCGTATGGTAGTTCTAGTTTTAGTTTTTTGAAAACTCTCCAGATTGATTTCCACAATGGCTGTATTGGTTTTCACCCACCCCCACCAGAGAATGAAGGTTCTTTTCTCTCCACATCCTCCCCAACATTTGTTTTCAGATTGATTGACCATAGCCACTCTGACAGTGACATCTCATGGTGGTATCTCAAAGTAGTAATTTCTATTTCTTATTTAAATTTTGTTTCATTATTTGTAATTTTCATTTTCCTGATGACTATGGATAGTGAACTTATTTGGTGACTGACAAATTTATTTCCTTGGTGTTTAATTTCAATTTTTTTGTAAATTCTGAATAGTAGCCTTTGAAGTACAGCTGGTAAAGTTTTTCTCCCATGCTGTGGGCTGTCTGTTAACTCTGCTGATTATTTTCTTTGCCTTAAAGAAACTTTTTATTTTCAGTAGTCCCATCTGTTGAAACATAGTGTTAGTTCCTGTGCTATTGGTCTTCTATTCAAAAAGTTCTTGCCAATTCCAATGTTGTGACCTGTACCCCCATGTTTTCTTCTAGAAGTGTCAATCAAGGTTCTTGATCCATTTTGAATTGATTTTTGTACAAGGTGAAAGACAAGAATCTAATTTCTGCACTGGGCTGAACTCCTGGAATCCACTTGCAGAGAGGGAAGTGGGATGAGTGAAGGGGTCAAGACCAGGCTGGAGAGACCCACATCAACAGCTGACTTCAACAAAGGGGAGCTCATGGAACCTAGACTATTAGCTGGGAAACCAGCATAGGACTGTTCCAGTCACCATGAATGTGGATGCCACTTTGGAGATCTGGTTAATCTATGGGTTCTCTGGTAGTGGATCAGTATTTATCCCTAGAACACAAATGGACTTTGGGAGCCCACTCTACAAAGAGGGATACTCTCTCAGCCTAGACACACGGGGGAGGGCCTAGGCTCTGCTCCAAATGATATGACAGACTTTGAAGATTCCCCAATTGAAGGCCTTACCCTCCTTGGGGAGCAGAAAGGGTATGGGATAGGGAGTGGACAGGGGACAGGGGAGGAGGGGAGGGAAAGGGAACTGAGATTGACATGTTAAACAAGCTTGTTTCTAATTTAAATAAAAAATAAAAAATCTAATTTTTGTCTTCTGCAGGTAGA